GTCGAAATATTTATTTTTTCATAGGTAACCTCTGAATTCAACATACTGCATATTCATGTAAAGTAAATAAAAAAAAATTAAAACAATTTTACGACTCGGGCAGGACTTGAACCGGCATCGTCAGCGTTCTGCGCTGTTGCTTTAACCAATTGACCTACCGAGTCATATACATCATTGCCAATTTTTTAAACCTATTATTAAATTTTATCCACATGTGAAGTAGTTAAATACAAGTACACTTAAATACTGTCTGTAGTTTTAAATACATCACTTGAACGGTTTAAAACGTATATATTAGTTAAACTTATTTGAAAATAATTTCTAACTTCGGCTCGACGTTTCGGATGCTTTCCACGTCTCCCCGTGACCACGGCTACTGCAAAGCATCCGAAACGTTTGGCCGAAGGTAAAAATAATTTTCAAACAAGTTTTTACTAAAATATATCGCGTTTTAAACCGTTAAAGTGTTTTATTTATACAAGTACACTTGTATCTTGAAAATGTGGAAATTAATTACAATTCTCACCCCTAATTCAATGAAGTCATTAAGATTTATTGGAAGATATCAACATAAGGTTCGTTACGGCTTCCATTCATTGTAGAGTGAAATTTTCCCGAGGAAATAGATTACATCCTTCATTCTTATCTTTGCTTAACTTAATTACAGTTCTCCTAATTAAATAAAAACATTTAGTACCTGTTAATTTCAGATAAAAGAACATTGGTAATTTTCGAGGGTATGTAATTAAGTTTCAGTTTTCTTTAATTATACGTAGCTTTATAGGAATTCTAGATTAAAACTAGACTTTTTACAAACTAAACTATTATGTGACTAAATAAAGTAGTGAATGAACATACAAATTTTCCTTTTATTAGAATAATTATACTACTAAATACTTTTTTTATATATCTTTTAGTTGAGTAATTTTCTAAAAAATTACTGTAGATTCTTTAAGTTAATAGTTCTTACTTTTTTCGTTTCTTACTTTACGTTAATAAAGTACTGTGATAAAATAATACATATTTTCATAGACATTACTTTCAATAAACACTAAGCATGGCGTATGGCATTCGTATTAAAAATAATAAATCCATTTATAATCTTCATTAAAATGTAAAATGGAAACTCACCGAAAAAATAACATTTCATTCGAATACAATACGACGAGAGCGAAAAGTAACTTCACAGCGAACAATACAATAACAAAAGCTGTGGTTTGAATTGCATGTTTGTTTGAAATTCAGACGTACTCACTCGTTACTACGAACTTTATCGCACGAGCGGAAGGTTCGGAGGCTTCAGTGGGACTGAATCTGAAAGCTCGGAGCTTGTTTGCTTTGTTGTCTGTATAGGAGAAGATCTAAAGCTTAACTGTTGTTCTGTTGGGCGCTAAAACCTCTATTATGCCGTTTAGCATCGCTAATTTTATTTAATCATATTATATTAACATATTTTGTAACCAAGATTTATAATATGCTCCTCGGCTAATAAATAAGTTATGGTTAGAATATAGCTCTTTTCTTTATTATGTAACACAAGGAAAACATAGGAATACCCAGTAGACAAGACAGTTTTAAAGACATTCCTCTTTTTTTCACGCTTACCTTTTTCCAAAGTTGAGGTCATTGGGCCCCCTAAGCTCCGGAGCTCTAGTGGACCACCTGGAACTACAATAGTTACGCCAACAGGGATACTTTTAATTGTTGGGAGTTTAAAGCCGATAGCGTTTAGGACCTAATTCGTGTCGGTATGGTATCGACTAGGCAATACTAAAAACTATGATCATTAATTCTCTAATCTAATCTTTCTATCTAAAAGTTAAAAAAGGCAGTTCATGCAAATTGGAAACCAAATTAATAATCTCTATACCGTCTCCGCGACTCAATGGTTAGTCACATTATCTAGTGCGTTAAGACCGATAGGTGCTAGGTTCAGTTTCTGGGGAAACATACATTTTTCGTGTAGGGCACAGGAGAAGAAGTCTATACATATTTTTGTTTCTTGTTAAAAATACTAATACAATTGTAGTAAAAATTCTTTGAATTTTTGTATAACTTAAAATCATTTTAGGTTAATGAAAATCATCTATAACAGATAAGTATTCTTTTTTATATTAAATTCATAGTATATTAATGTTTTGTAAACTATGACAGGTTTAAAAAAACATAAGAGGTAATCCATATTAAAAGGGTTGCCTAATAATCCCTTTTTATAAGTGAGATATAATACGAGAGGGTAATTTTATTTGAAGATGGATGTATGAACATCATACAAAAGGCTGCCATCCCACAATAAGAAAAACGCTTATAGGTTTAAGGGGTGTATTATATGTAGAAATATAATATTTGTCCTTTAAAAATCTCTCTAGCATGGTAATATTGGCGGAAAATTGCTCGAAATAAATTTGCTATCAAATTCACTTCTTTTACATAGTATTATGCCGTAATAAGATTCCAAACCAATTTTTTATTCTTTTGTGCTTGGGTGTATTGTTTTTTATTTAAAATGAAAACTTATATTCTTTGATACTAGCAATATTTAAGATGACACAATTTTTGAACACTGATTGTTATTATATTCTCTTTTAAGAATTTTTATATCTTTCAACATTGGGTGCACCGTCCACTTATTCTGGCCGTGGACGTTCAGAAGTCCATAGACTGAATCCGAATCTACACAGCTAGGTCTGTTTTGGTGGTTCGAGACTTGGACGGACTCTCGATATTCCGAACATCCATTTAGTGATTTCAATTTTTTAAAAGAAGACGATCACTAAATACTGTCTATAGTACTGTCTATATTAGTTAAACTTATTTCTGAATTATTTTTAACTTCGGCCCGACGTTTCGGATGCTTTGCAGCAGCCGTGGTCACAAGGAGACTCCGCCACGGCTGCATGGCTTTTAAGTCGTTAAAGTGTTTTATTTAAATAAAGACGAACATATTAAGTATATTATAATATATTAAACGCATGCGGCGCATTTAGTCTAAATAAATGCCTATAACTCTTAGATCATATGTTCACTTAATTTCTTATTGAAAAGATCTTCTTGTGCTCTATTTATTTGTAAGAAGCTTGCAGCACTGGTAAACATTGTTTGCCATATAAATGTAGGAAAAAAGCTGGTAAAATACTGTTCAACAAAAGGGGTTAGATAGAACGATTAAAATTTTGTGTTGCGTTTATTTATTTGCTTTAAATTACAAAAAAAGTATATATTAAGAGTTAACCTTAACAACTAGAGAGGTAGAAAATTAATAATCAAGCCATGTTGAAAGTTGAAGGGATTGTTTGTTTGTTTGTTTGAACGCGCTTATCTCAGAAACTACTTGTTATAAATTTGAAATTTCTTTTTGTTTGTTAGAGCATAGATCGAGAGAGGCTCTAAATCGTGCTGTGAGTAATAGGAGCGAAATAACGGCGGGTAATGTGGAAAATACGGGGAAAATTATTCATCCTTGTGGGTTTCCGATGCGTTTGCTGCGAAAACGGTTAGAGATGTCAAAATATGTATGAAATAATGATTTCTCTAATATGATCTAAAAAATGTCCCCAATGCTATATTTTAGATTAATTTGCAAAAACGACGGGACGCGACCACCGTCGTGGGTAACGGCTTAAATTTATAGAGTTGAACAAGAGTTTGGAAAAACAAATTTTTATGCCCAAAATAACTAAAACAAAATTCTACGCGGACGAAGTCGCTGACACAGTTAGTAATATATATTACATTGAAGTATGTTTATGTATACATATCGTTAGGTTTTCAACTCAGACCCTGTATATGAAGTAATTTAATAAGATTTACTTCGTCAATACAGATAGACGTTTTCACCACAAATCTAATTTCTGAAAGTTGTATTCGACCTCTCCCTTGATTTCTTCAAAAAGCCGCTGAGCTATGGATGAAAGTCGTGTCAGGCAGAGGATTCCCTTTCAAGGAATTTCGCGAAGGGAATAAAGGCGCCCTTGAATATTTTATGAAGTGATGTTGGCGGCATCGATCTTTGCAAATGGCTTACATACAAGACTGGAATCGTTATATAAATCTGTTCCTTACTTAAAGAGAAACATATTTATGACAAGGTACTGTATAGTGCTTTCGTAGTTCAATACGCCATTATTCTTATTAAAATACTTGATGCGTTAGTGATAGTGTTGTTATGCACGGGCGTGTTGACAGTTATAGACAATGAGAGACAGATAGAGAAATTTAAGCAAATGAATTATAATTTTGATCCTCAGTTCAATCTCCAGTCATTACCAATCATTGATGGTTTTTATATATTTTCTCCAAAAAAAAAAGAAGTTGTAATGAAACAAGTATGATACCAGAAACAATAATTTTATCTATGCCATGTGCTAACTTACATTTACCCACTATTTGGAGGCCTGTATCCAGCTGTGGGAAAGTAGTCCGTTAGTAGAAAATAAACAATAATCGTCCTTATTTAATTTATAATGTTAACATTAAAAACATCTGGATTTTTTAATTAACATATTATTATAATTATATAAGAAGTATAATTAACATTCGTAAATTCGAGGTTCACATTTTTCGATAATACCTACACGCTGAAGATATTTGGCAGTACAAATTACTACGTCTACTTATTCATATTCTCCTATTTATTTATAAAATCTAGAAATGAGGGGAGACATAATAGATTCTTTAAAAATTGTGCTAAATTTATTCGTACCAGCTTATCTTCAGTAAATTGACTAATAAACATACGTTTCTTATATATGTACATAAATATTTATAAAACATTCAATTTTTGTAATCTACTTTAGTATAATAACGATATCAAATTAGATATATTTGGCACGTGGGAGAAGGTACTTAGGAGTACAATTATTATTATAGATATACTGAATAACATATAGTTTAAACGATCAAAACATTTCAGTCTTACTGCGGAAAATAGGAAAAATAAAAATCCTAACCACAGATGAATGGAGTACTATTCTAATTCCTAAGTTAGCTTAGAGAATCTTTTATTCCAATTTAGTTCTCTTGATTTCCAGTAGTTTCATGGTGTTGAGACACCAGAACATGGCGGAGACTACATAGAATATTTGAAGGAGCGTCGTGACAGCATTCGGCGTGGTTATACTCCTCGAAAGGAAAGCGAGAGCTGAACAACGTAAAACTTCCAGCAGTGGCGCATACTTCGAGTTGTCGAATAACATTCCGATTATGGTAAGCGACGACATGATGTAGAAAACGAATATGAGAACTGAGATCGGTGTCATTCCCTGCAACAAAAACATTACGCTATAAATTGTATGTATTATATATATGAGTATGTAGATAATATAATACAGACAAAAAATATATATTGTACGCAATAGATAACATAAAATTGCATGTAATAGACAATAATATAAATTGTATGTAGCTTTGCAGTTTCGTTGTTTATTTAAAATATGTTTTTACAATACTGTAAAAATACATGTAAATCACTTATTTTTAACATATTTTTTTAAACATGTGGTAGTATAATACGCTTTTTTTAATAAAAATGTTTGTGTTTGTATATATATAAGCACTTATTTACAAATAAATTAAAACATTAAAACCATGTGCAGGTTTTAATGTTTTCATTTATTTGTTTCAGGTTATCAGGTTTCAGCTAATTTACATTAGTCAATATGTAAACAGACAATCAGGAACATATAAATCCAATTTCTGATTCTGTTATTCTCGTTACTTTGCCTGTGGTTTCTTGATACATTTATCGGATGTGCACACTCAATTTAATTTTTTTAGTACAGTTAAAGTACTATTACACCAAGTAGGTACTAAACATGACATATTTGGAAATACATGTGATGTTGTAATGTAAAATGGGCAACAACTTCGCATTAATACATTTCGAGCAGGGAGAAGTTTGCCATTGTTGATCGAGTACAATAGAATCTCGCTTGGGGAAATAATGTTCTCGCACATATTATTTGATTGCTCTAAGAAAACATAGTTACATAGAATGCTCCGTTCAATTCTCTGCAAGAGTTACTCGACGGTTACAGTCTCTGTTTACACTTTGAGAAAATTTCACTTATTTCTGTTTTAATACGATTCGTACGATGTCTTTTTATGATAGAAGACATAACACCTTAACAAGACGGGCTGTCGCCCTATGGTGGCTTTGGATTTTCGGAAATCCACAGACTAAAACCGAAACGAGATTAAACTTCACGGTTTTTCATGTGTGGACGGCGGGAGTTGAACCCGCATCTACAACCACTGGCAATTCAAGGAGAATATCAATACTTTTCAATATACTACAGATCAAACAACTGAAAGTCGCGATTTTTTATTCGTTATTTAGATTTGTCGTAAGAAAATTGAATGATAGACTCTCTCGTAAATATTTGATTCCCAAATTGACTATCGTGCGTAGATTGAAATATTGAATTGTTTATTTATTTATTTTACCAGTTACTTAGGTATGTTTACACTTTATTCGAACTTTTTGAGAGAATTGTTGTCTTTTCATTGATTTCGGAGGACTGTATTTTTACTTGATTATAATAGCCGTTATAAAAGCTGAAAAGATAATAATGATAACTTACCAAGTATCGCGAAGCGAGCTCGAAGAAACCGTATAGAACTACCGCATAATGTATAATTATGTAAACATTACACCATGTAGGAAGGTTAACGTCGTATTTTTCCCTCGATTCAATCTGTAACAAAGATTGTTTTTTGTATATTGAATGCAAAGGCTTATCAATGAAAATGTACTAAATATATTCATGCAACCGTATTTTTTTGTATTCAGGGAAGACCAGGAGCCAATTAGCGTTTAAATCTAGATAAGTTGTTTTTCTTAATAAAAATATATAATTTATATACTTAGGGTATAGTCATAAATAGGTATACATGAATAGGCTTTACATACATAAGTATGTATTTAAGTTAATTCATACATTCCGCGTTTTTAACAGTTAAGATGTTTTTATTTATGTATACTATTCCCGTAAACTATAGACAGTCCTTTATTAATATAATTGATTTTGTATGACAAATGCTGGTAAATCAAAGAAATATAGAGGAATCCTTTGCTACTGACTGACATCTTTTCCTAATAATCTTTCTTAACTAAAAAAGTTTGCTTCGATTATGTTGCTGCTAGAGCTATCTACAACTATTAGCTCTAAAAATAGCTGAATGTCAAGCTATATATGAACTCTGTGTCAAAGGTGTTGGAAGTTTTGACTCTCAGTTTTATCTCTTAAACGATGATAAAGTTCATTGGGCTCAACTGTGAATAAATAGATAGAGATATCCAGTATTTTTAATATGCGGGCCTTCCTTCTACGCGTATTTTCATTTACTTAGATACCAGACGTAAGAGTTTACGATGTTATTTAACTACAAACTCGTATTACATATCGGCGTGTGAAAAATGAAAGCTGTTAACAAACAACAATAACTGCCATTGATTGTAGAATTAATAATCTTTCTTTAAAAAACCAAATTTTAAGTCCATTTAAGTTTTGTTGTGGTGCAGTAGTAGTAGTTATACAGATGAAGTAATATTTTGGACGATATATAAAATAAACTTTTATTAGTTCAATGCAAAACGCAATTTTTGTTGAACTAATAAGGATATTTAAAGAAACGATACACAGCGATCCGTGCTGCGGGCGATAACTTCTTAAATTTTCTTAAAAACTTACATCTTCCTTCAAGTCATCGTCACCAAGCCGAGCAGTACCAGGTTCCCAGCTAGGTCCCCAAACAATAGCTTTGATTTTGTGCTCCCAATTGTCAAAGCTTCGGAATTTTTCTATCACATACCCTGTGTAGAAAATCTGTAACAACATTAATACTGTCTTAGATATATAGTTACAGTTCTTTGATAAGGTCCAATAGGGAATTGTTTAAATCTTTCCAGAATATTTTATAAGTCTTTTTCTGTAAATCTTGTGATCCAGGATTACATGATATTGAAAATTTAACTATGTCAAAGGGGAGGTCTAAAGGTCTGGCCTTATCGTTATCGAGCGATTTCTTAAGCAACTCTTGTTGATAAAAAAAAAATTGAGAACGTGCAGGAAGTGTGAAAGGCATAGATTTCGGTTCTCTTATTGTCGAACAAGACATTGTGTGTCTTTCCTCTACATAAGACAAAAATATTTTCGGATCTGTTTCACTCGATAATCGATTTGTTTATTTGTGTGTTTGTTTATTGTTGTAGATACAACGAATACAACGTCTTATGAAACGAACTAACGAAGTATTATGCGAAATCCTGATTCCCCTTGTGGAGCATGGGGCGAACATTTTTCTCTTCACTGATCGATTTATTTATAGGCTTCAGTGAATCTTAATGATCAGAATTCGGTGCTCTGCCCGACCGCAATGATTTATTATATCCCGCAATTCGAACACTTACCTACTTTCAAAACTTTTATATTTTTCACATATTTGCACATGATGGCACTATAAACATTAAAAATTGTTAAAATGTACGACACGGTCAGAACTTGAACCGGCATCCACATCGTTAGAGCAACACCACGGAGCGCAACGCCGGTTCACGCCCTGTACGTGTCGTAATTTTTTTCAATTTATAACCAAATTTTTATGTCGCTACTACCTACTTCTCATACTTAACACAACAGAGGTTTTGGTATAAGTTAAAAGATTAGCCTGAACAACACAAAATAGGAATCAAGAAATTTTGTAGACTCTTTCACTAACCAGAGGAAATCGGTCTCCACGGTACTTACTTGCAAATAGAACGGATTGAACGACGGTTGATTGTAAATAAGCCCGTACACAATTTCAATTTTGTCCGTTTCTGGCCGGAAGGTGCCGAATAATCTGTCCCAGATGATAAGTACACCTCCGTAGTTGACATCCAAACAGTACTTGTTACTGCCTGTAACAAAAAAGATTTTACAATAACGAGGAGAAAAATGTTTAATTGGTATGAGTTTCTTAATTACTCCATTTTAAGAATTCCGTATCGAAAGGGTAAGATGGAACCCAATTACTGACGAGGCTATATTATGAACTGTTAACATATTTAAAGATTCTCAATAATACAGAGCGAAAGATATATTTAACTAGGATCCCCATACCATATACTTCATTCTATTTTCAGACATTTGTAATATTAACCAGTGTTGAGGATATTTCTTTACAAAGAATTTCATATTGAAATATTAAATAATTAGCTGGGCTGCCATGAAATACTTCGCAGTTTTGTTGATAAAGTAACTTAATGCGTGAATACGACTCGCACTTGACCGATTTTTCAGTTCTCGTTCTTTGTAGAGTAACTCCAGTACATCAATTAGGGGAATAATAAAAACCCTCCCACGTCCAGCCGCGCTTCATTAAAAGAAGCCTACGCACCGAATTTTTAATTAATACTGGGCGTATTTTCAATTTGTCAAAAGTATCTTTTTGATATAAATGAAAATTATTTTATTTTAAAATAACAATGAATGCTACGAAAGTTTTGCATCATTATTGTGATAACTGAATTTAACGAGCTGACTATAATTGGAAGGTAAACGTTAATTGACATATCTTTAATACGTATTGTTAATAACACGGTAGATATGTTTTATAATATAATTTTTACTTATTAAATATTGTCTCTAGTTCACGTGAGTAGTACACACAAAAACTTCCAACGATTTGAAACAAGAAATAAATTCGTTACTTTATTTGTTAATAATTCCAACTACGGCCCGATGTATCGCATACATTGTAGCAATACTAGTAAACTACAGGCAATAGATAATTTTGTATTTTATTTAACTTACCATGGTGTACTCTATGATGGCTCGGTGTGTTGAGAATGTACTCCAAGGGTCCCAAGCTCTTGATCGATTCTGTGTGAATCCAGAACATGTATAAGTAGCTGAATTGGTGATGCATGACGAATTGGGCGGGCGGAATTGCTAGAGCCAGTGGTAGGTAGAACACCTGAAAGTATATCAAGGGTTTTTTGAAAAAGCAAGCTTGCTTTGCAATAAGAAAATACTTGTTTTAAAATATAGATAAAAAGACAAGTATTTCAACATTACTAATATATGTTAATCTTTTGTGTTATCATAATTATGTGTTGCCTGGGCTAATGAATTTCGCTCTTATCGTGTTTAATTGTCGAAAAATTTTACGATACATTTTGAAAGTGTCTTAAAATATCTTTTAAATTCTATCAATTCGGATATTGCACCCGAATTATATTATGTATCTAGCATTGTGTATATAAGATTTTTTTTTATTTACAATTTATCGACTCCCGTCTTAGTAGGCAAAGTAACTATTAGAATTAGCAATACTTACAAATCCACACCAGCCTTGTAGAACTGACTGTCTGATGCCCACGCCCATGTTGAAATCTTCAGATGTATGATGTACCTGATGCTGAGCCCACAATATGTGTATCTCTAAAAACCAATGTTATTTTTCAGAATATTACTTCAAGTCTTTCTTAACCACCTAGCTAGGTCCTGGTACCGGTTAATAAAGAAAGTATCAGGCCCTCATCCCCTTTTTCCGTGTAGTGAATTACAAGCCTCCGAAATTATAAATCAGAACTTTATAAAAAGTGTTTTTCTTCTTTTATTCTACGCTCATCTATTTTCACAGAAGAGGTTAGAGAGACCCTAAGGTCCAGGGGTGCACTAGAAGACATGGCACCACGATAGCTACGTCACTGAACCTAACCTTAGAGAGGTGCTGGTCTAGTAATATGTGCCTGTTTATGCATTTAGAATTCAATTCCTATGTCATATACATTAAATAATCTGTTCTTGTCATAACATTTGTTAAGATTGCTTTAATAAAATAAAATGACAACTTTTGTCATCTACTAACTAATTAAAGCCTTTATATTATTATTATTTTAAATTATATTTTTGTAAAATTCTGACAACAATATTAAATGGGTTCGATAGAATTTCGATAGAAATGGCGCTTGTGCAGCTGTCGCATTCAGTTTAGGAATACGAAACGAAATTACACAATACTGAGTCTGGCAAGTGTAAATCACTTTCCATTGGAGTGGAGAATGACAATTTTCAGTATTTCAGGTTGTAAAAATGGGTACACATATTCCGCTTTCTTACAAGCAAGTAATGCATTTTTGTATATATAAAAAATATTAGAATTAATAATAAACGGGTTGATATAGATTAAATTCGATAACAATAGTAATTTATTTTCACTACTGCGACTGTTTGTCAAGTAGTACGAGTACAATCTAATGATCATAGTTGTTTATTGGTATTATTATAATTGTAGTGACACAATATGCATATTATTGATAAGAAAGCAATTGCTTTATATTTGTTAATTAATAAATTTATCTGCTGCAGGGAGTTTTTACATCATGTAAGTATATTGTACGCCGCTGTATACAATACGTCTGTTTGTTTATTTATAAACTAAACATCGCATAAAATTATGTGTAGCTATTCTACTCTAACTATTTTACTTTTACGTATTTTAATAAAGTGGATTTTTATTCAATTTTGTACCTGCGGTTAAGTTAAACATTAATGGATTTGATATTAAACGCTATCAACTTTTAGAGTGCTTTTGTAAAACAGTTATATGCGCTTTAACGGCGAGCCACGAATAACATACATATACAATGCATCAGAGAAATTATCACAAATTTTAATAAGGAAAAGGGTAATTATATATAGAATAAAAATACGTACAAAATACAGGACTACACAATTAATAATAAATACTTTTGACAAATAACACAAAAAAAGAACAAAACATGAGGCTTTTTCAATTTAAATTAGGAATACTCAATTTTAGTGACAATATGGCGTTTATGAAATGGGTCGGTATTTAAATTCAAAATTTGTTCTCTTTTCTTTTAAAAAGAATATGGCCTTCTAAATATTCTACAATAGATATTTACCGTGACACGCTCTGTGCATCCAATAATAGCAGAAATCAACCCCCAGGGCCGCGGCGTACCACGTCAGCGTATTGTCCCAGGGGAGGTCGACGAGTCTATAGTTACTATAGATCCATGTGTATAAATAGGACTCCGCTCCGCGCCACACCAATCTAGGACCATGTATTAGAAGTTAAACTTAGTCACTAGCGGTTATAAAGTTTTTAGTGTTCAAAGACATTTCAATTAAACATTACTTAGTTAGTTAGAAGTATTACACTACATTGTCCCCTACTAAGTTTTGACCCATTAAGAAACTAGCTGTCTCAGCGACTTCATCCGCTATTTCGGGCATCCAAAATTTTTTTTGCAAACCCTTCATCTTTATAAACTTAAGCTATTACTGATCATTCATACTGGTCATTCTTGCAAGTTAATTTTAAAAGACATATAGCGTCGCTGACTTTTTTATAGATCATTTAAAGAGGAATCATTCTTTCATACATAGTATTTAGGTATCTTGAACCGTTTTTGCAGCGTACGCCTCGGAAAGTCATAATGGTGAATAGTTTTCCCAATTTTTTTCACACTTCTCGCTGTATTTTCACTTGTATTACTCACCGGGCGATGTTTTACAGCCTAAGCCTTCTTCGATAAATGCTCTAACAAAAGAAAGAAGTTTTGAATTCGAACCCGTAGTTCCTGAGATTAGCGCGTTCAAACACACAAAGAAACAAACTCTTCAGCTTTATATGTATATTTCACACTTTATAAGTAAAATGTTACGAAGACATTCACTGACTTATACATACGAATAGCGTTTAGCGTGAAAAAATCCTGTAGAGTATTTTCTAGAGATAAACGGCTTACCTGCCACACTCCTGAAATATCCCATGAGATATACTCGTTACGCCGTCGTTCAGTCGAATTCCTTTCTTTCCTTCAAGTCTTAGTACTATGTGCTCGATTATCATAAATATTATGAAGTATGGGTATGACTGTAACAAAATGAAACTTATTAATATTAATATTTACATATGATATCTGGAATATTTAAATTATGTACAAGTATATAGTTTTCTAGGTAAGTAGATGCTTAGGTAGTGACAACGGCTGCTGCAAAACATATAAAAAGTATATGGTAAATAAACTAACAAACGAATTTCGTGTTTTAATCCGTTAAAATAGTTTTATTTAAAAGTACTTATTTTTCATATTCACTACTGACTTATAAGAACGAACAAAATTAATATGTTGCAGTTTTTAACATTTGTAAAATCTATAAGAAGGTTACTTCACAGCAAACCGAAATTTTGTGTTTATTTATATAACCTTATACCAAAGTTTATTTACCACTTACCGTCAATATGTCAACATATTATGGCAAATTAGGTAACAGACTTAACGGCACAACACTGATATCTTATAGTATCTGACATGTCTATTTTCATTTTCGATGTACTGTGTTTTATTTAGTGTGTCACAGAAGTTCTAGGCTAAAATAGGCTAATAGTTCTAATTTTAACTACTAAGTGCTGAATTATGGTTATTCAATAACATAGTACGAAGTTTTCTTGAACTAATAGATCGAATGAAAGAAAAAGAACAATAAATTCGATCAAACCAATCTCTCATCTATCCAAGTTTGAATTGAATTCTTTTCTCTTGTCAATATACCTTAATATAACGACATTCTTGACTTTGGAATTATCGTTACATTCTATTTATATAAACGGTACACACGCAGGGGCTTTTTTTAAATTTAGCAGTAAAGGTTTTTCTTAATGATAGCGGAGGGGTTCACTCGATGGTAGGTGATATACCCCAGCCTGTAGCATTTGAATAAGATGCGCTGTCGGCCTATTTCGGTTTTGGATATAAGTAAATCCACAGGTGACACCAAAACGCGATTAAGCTTCACGGCTTTTTCATCTGTGGACGTGGTTCGTGTGGGCGTGGTTCGGGATCCGGACGAAATTTTCTATATTCCTACTAAATATCCAGATTTCAAGACGACGTTGGACCTGGTGGGGATCGAACCCACGACCCGTGGATCATTAGCCATACGTCGCTACCATTAGACCAACGAGCCCGTCGGAGGTATCATTAACAGTGTGCCAAAGCAATGAATGTTCACAATTATTCAAGTGTTAAAACTTTCTAATTTAATTTTCATTGATATCTTTCGCTGAAAAGCGAAGGACGTTGACGTTCAATTTGTAAGTGTTGAAGTTGTAATTAATTTTAGTGAGATGTATTGCGCTTTATAGTTGCAGATATATAAAGATCGTAGAAAAATATTATGCTTGGTATAGATATTATACTGTATATAAAATATCAAGGAACACTGTGGTCGTAAGTTGGAGTCTAGAACTCAATTCTATTTATTTAAAGATGCGACCAATAGGATCTAAGGAACAGTGGGTAAAGTAGAAAAAGGGGGAAAAATTTTAAGAACTTCCGTTCCGTGCGTGCGAATACGGTTCAAGATAGCCAAAAATATGAATTAAAGATTAATTTCTCTTTAAACAATCTAAAAAAAATTGCGACATCATATGTCTACCTTTGCACAATTACTTATAAGAACGACGGGACGCGGCTGACGTCGTGGGTAATAGCCATCTATACTAATATAAAAAGCTAAACGCTAATATTTCATAAAGATGAGGAGGAAGTTTGCAAAAACAAATTTTTATGGTAAAAAAAGGCTATTCTTCGAGGACGAAGTCGCTGACACAGCTAGTTAATAAAATTTGGATCTTTAACCAATAGCGACGTAAAAACTACGTCGTTTATTAGGAGACCACAGCCTTAGAGTTACTTCGAAGTGTGTAATTGACATGCTAATCTAAAATTACTAGCCGCAAGGGTCAAAGCAAGTGTTACTTGAAACTTATGCCAATGAAAAGTGTTATATATCATGCAACTTACTAACCGAATTGTTCTCAATAACCATTAGTCACATTTTATATAATATATTTTGTTTACATTTAACATTTATGTAAAGTTTCTTTGTTGTTCAGTAAATAAAATTATAATTTGCATCGACTAAAAATGTACGCTCTGTCTATCTGTGTATTATTTGTTTATGTGTCCTGTCATTGAGGAAGTCAGACAAGCATAGGAATCATTTAATGTATAATAAACCTCAGCCGGGTCGCAAAAAATTGTAGTGCGAAGGGCGTACAAAGCACCGTTTTTTTTTTAATTTCAGTATCCTCCGTTTCACTTGGAAAGAGGCTTTTATGTTACATTTTAGTTGTTTGTTTCTTCTTGTTCTATTAGTTCTGTTGTTCTTTATTAATACATATTATCAAGCTTACGGTAAGCGTGCTTGCGTATTGTCAACAAGCTTACGTATGTTTCCGTGGTGGTCCACGCCGAGTTCTTGAGAGTTAATCTTAAAAGATATAATCTCGTGGACGTTATTTTTGGATCATTTAAAGAATAATTATTCTTTCATACATATTTTTTGGTTTCTTGTTATCGCAGCGCACGTAACGGAGCCCTTAAGATACTTTTTCCAAATGTCTCACCCTTTCTTAGCTCCTGTTGATCGCAGTGTGTGTTTTATAGCTTAAAGATTATTTGATAAATGGTCTAACACAACCAGTAGCGTAACTAGGTGGACAACGGCCCGGGTCTACCTAATCCTAAGGCTCAAGAAAGAATCGGGTTCTCATCCAGTCTTTTAGCATAGCTTGAATTAAATGAACCCCAAAAATTATATAGCAGGTTTATAATTTTATATTAGTTCAGATATTATCATTCATTGTTTCAGTCGCAACACATTGTTCCTAAATCGGAGTGTAAGAATGTAGGCGTAAGGTGTCTTGAATCGTTGTAATAAAACAAACATCGCAGTAAAATAATAGAGAAATAACAAAGTAGCGTCGAATGCATAAAAAATAATACATACATTTAATGCTTTCTTAATAACCTTGAATTGATAAGATATGATATTTAAATTGGTCAATTAATAAAATGACAAATCATGGGTCAATTCATTAATGTCTTTAGACTTTATTTTTTTTGATTTCTCGCTTAGATATAGTCATTCTATGTTTACTTCGTAATAAAGATCGATGTATTTTTTTTCTCTCTATCAATAACGAAAACATGTTGGTACTTTTATACATGTTACTTTTCTATCTAGTAATGCTTGATAGGTAGTTGAAGATATTTTTAAGGAAGGCTTTCAAACAAAAAACAACAGTAAGCCAATTTTTATCATATCAATATAGAAAGGTACACGCAATATACAATTTGTGAGTGAAGACGCCACCTATTGCCTTGGGCATATTTTCCTTTTTTTCTGTGACTGTTTCTCCTACACTTTTTTTTTTTTTTTTTTTTTTCCGGGGGGGTTTTTTTTTTTTTTTATACTTTTTTGTTTAAACCGATAAATTAGTTAAACTTAAAATTTAAGCCCGACGTTTCGATGCTGCGCAGCCGTGGCCGGGGAGTCATCAGTAGTTCTAATATATCGCGTTTTAAACCTTAAAGTGTTTTATTTACACACTAAGTTAACAATTCCTTTGTAAACAAATCTTGATTCGTGTACAATAACATGCTTTTACAACGCATTTACTATTGACAAATTGAACCTTGAATAAATTGCTGTCAAATGGAACATGCGTTGCGCCATTTCAAAATATGTTTTGTTAAGCAAAAACTTTGCGACACCTCTTTCATAAGAATTTTTAATTAAAAGACTTGCTAATGCACAAATGTTAACAATTATGTTACAAATGTAATTAAAACCTATAGATATGTTTGACTTAATAATAATTTATTAAAAACTAAAATGCACTATTGCAATATATAAAAAATGAAAAAAAAAGGGCCATTCAGAATGCCAGATAGAATTTAGAAACAATAACTTCACTTATCTAGATTGGATTTTTAGCAGAGGAAGTGAAATACATCGTAGAGGCATAACGCGTTACGCAACGAAGTGCCCTTTCATACGAAGTTGTCACTTCAAAGGAGGAAAGACTGGTGAAAATATTTATATGCATTTTTATATAGTCCAAATAACCTTTTCAGAAAGTTTACTATTTTTTATATCAGTTTGGACGTATTTATTAATGTGCCGGTATATTCCGTTAAGTACAATTTCTATTAGTTTTTTAACTCACCTGTCTAAAAAAATTCGGCACATCCTCCGGTTTTTCGTACAGCGTTTCTTCAGGGGAATGTATATAAAACATACGCCCCACGCCTTTCAAATGTGAAGCCAGGACATCAGAAAACTCCCGGTTTATTGTTGAATTACGATACAGAACCTCCGCCGCCATCTTTGCGGTTTACTTAAGATCTGAAAAAAAAAACGAAATATTTAATCGAAATGTTATTGTGCTTTGTGTTAAGGAGGAATGACCTAGATACCAATTTACGAAACTAAACACTTGTACACACATTCAAAACATACTTTACATTAGCAGTTTTAAAATTGGAATTGCGGTAACTTAGCGGATTTTTCTACAAGCAGATTGGATAAACAAATTATTTCGTTAGTGCAAAGCAACGTGTTCAGCCACTGAGCTATGTACGACAACCATTTAATACATATTTCAGTACATTTAAGTAATTATTCGTGAAAAACAATTATGCTATCGCTTTCTCTCTAGACATTTATAAGTCAAGCGTTGCATTTTATATATTTTTTGCTAGATTGTTAATTATTAAATTGTCGATTTAAAAAGTGCTGCAAAATAACTATACTAAAATCATACATAGCGTGATTTACGCGTTCAATATAAATTTTAAATGCATGAATTTTCCGCTCCGTTGCATTTTGCTGTCGATATTAATCGGCTATCCGCAAATTACGTAAACAAGATGCTAAATGCTGTTAATTATTAATAAATATTAACGTTACGGCGATGTTTGAAATTCGTCCTAGTGCAGTATTCAAGTGTGTAAAAAATATATACATTACTTTTGTTTTAGAATTGCTACTATCTGTGTCTCGTTTATCTCGTCGATATTTTATTAATTACTCTATTTGGTCTTTGCCGATCAATGCCGAACAAAAAGTACACATAAATTGAAAAATAGTGTTATTACTTCAGGATGAACAAAAGTTAAGACCTAATAAGTTGTTATATCTTTAAACGCCCTGGTGAAATGTACCACGTATACAGCAAGTACGTATATATTAACTGTAGACAGTTTAAATACTGGTATGGCGACTCTCACAAACAGGACACGGGACTGGTACCTTAGGAAGCGGTTACGATACCTGTTCAACCGTGCGATCGTGAAGTTTACAATGTGTATATACTTGGAGACTAAGTCGCAATTGATAAAAATTATATTAATGCAATTTATTTTAATAAGTATGTATTAAATTATATAGCTTTGATAATTTCTCTCACTAAGGTCTTTGAAACTGCAACCGTCGGATTGAAGATAAAATCTACTTATTGACTATTTTAAGTATCTTATACACTATAGGAGGGTTTAACCTTTACTATAGGCTCGAGGCTTGTGAACGATATTTTCAATATAAAATATTTCCCCAGTGATTGATAGAATCTTAGATGACTGCCAAAAAGTTCGAGACAGTGAACTTTCGTCAATCGCCTTATAAGTTCGCGATCGCATCGTCCGACGTAAATAATATAAATGATGCTTTTGAATTACTTTCGGAACGAGTCAAGCGGAAAAGCCGCGAAATTTGCTGTGAATAAGGCTGAAATTGCAAAAGTTTAAATTACTTGCGAGCTGTCTATGGACGCGGGCAATTTGTGAATACTTGTAAAATATTCATTGAAAATCAGATGAAAAACTCTAGACTAAAGCATTATGGTCAGAGTGTCCTGGATTCTTTTCCCATCTTATGGGGAAAAAAATCAGTTTAGGGATACAGTATAAAAAACTTGCTTGCGAATCAGTCAATGAAGTGGATTTTATGATAAAAGAGGACAGTCAAGCATGGAGTTCACCTGATAGTAGGCGACATAGCCCAGCCATTTAACATCTAACACGATGCGCTGTCGACTTTTGGCTTTGGAAATTTTGAAATCCGCAGACCTAAATCAAAACCAATAAACTTAGCTTTATCTCTGGACACTGCATTGGTGATCTGGACGGAATTCCGATAATCCCACCAACCATTTTGTATCCAGTTTTACAGACGAAGTCCAACATGTCACATCAGAAAAAATGTATTTTATTACAAATATGCTAGACTAGGTGGGAATTGAACTCACCAACCGTTGATATTATTATATATCGCAACCATTAGCTAGTCAGATTATATAGAATTATTTCCACCCCAAGCTAACGGTAGGGTATTTTCACTTTTGATAAACGTAAAGTGAATAACTGTGTCTCTTAAATGGGGTATCTAATTTACATATGATAATATAACCTTTTTGGCTCAAGAAGAATTAATTTCAGAGTGTTATTTTTCGTAGGTGAACAATATTAAAATAAAGCTATATTAACTTAGGTAATGAGTTTTATGGTGGATTGAAATAGAAGTTTAGACTGTAAGTATATTGTTACATTAGAATATTAGATCCATCTACCCTACGTGTGCACTTGGAACAGACTTTTCGTCTATCTCGATTTCTAACGTAACTTTTGATTATTCAGGATTCGAAAACAAAACCCTTCACTTTTAATGCGGTGTTGTCTTTGCCTTTGTTTATTTGATCGTAAAAATAAAACTATTTGAAGGTATAATCATAAAAGTGTTATTTCAAGCAATAAAATTTAAACGTATTCTTGTAACTCTGTGAAATTTGATTTATTCAAGCAACACTAATGGAAATTATAACACGAATCGGAACGATTAAGCAGGCAAATTACTTCAATTCGGTCATTATTAGCTGCGTTAATTGCATATTAATAATATTTCTGTAATTGGGCGTTTGAAATGATTTATGGTTCTAGTCGGCGTGTTTTGTTTATTTTGCGAGCGTATTCATAATTTTAATGAAACAAAACATTTTTTTTATATCTAGTGTATGTTTTGGTATATTAATACGATGAATATATTTTGATTTTTGAAATTCCGTTTCTCCCCTAAGTGGCATGGGCGGACTTAATCTTGTGTCCGATTACATACATTTACCGATCACTTCGATTAACAGTCAAGTGATTCATCAGACTTTTGTTCCCTTTTGGCAAAAAAGTTTTATTTCCGAGGATTCGACCCAAAATCACCAGAAGCATATCTTTCGTCTTATAGGATTGCGTTTTAATAATATCTATCATACATTGTTTTGCCAATAATACATATATATTATTAGCAAAACAATTTCGCGAACTACATGTTGTTTCTTGGAAAGACTCCAATATAAGTAAATGTACTAAATATATGCTATAGGACTTACGATATATTAATAACGTAAAGTAAAATCACGAAACATGTTAACATTAAATACAACACTATATATAAAATACGACATTGGAACACCCTGTACGAAACGCTCCTTCACTAAATACTTTTAAATCAATATATAAAAATTTCAGAGGGCGCATAAAGCATTTTGTTGTTTTCGTTTTTAATGTTTTTTTCTTTCCATCTCCTATTTTATGTTTTGTAAAGTGTTTGTTTTTTCTTTAATTGTAATTAAGGTAATAATATTCTATTTCAAATGCCAAGCGTGGGGCATCACTGAAAACCGGCGTTGTGCCTAGCTGAGTGGTGTCCCTGAGCACGCATCTTTTATTATTATTTATTGTCATTAATTTTTGTGTATTATTTTATATGTGTGTGGGGATTAAATGATTTTATTTGATTTATTAATAACACGAAGCCGTACTGGTGAATGAGATAAACTTTGTGCGAACTCGGTCGCGAGCTAAACAAAGTTACACAAATTACACGTGTATACAGATAATGAAAAGAAAAGCTAATATAATATTATGTCGTAACTTTATCGCATTAGTTCATTTTCGAGAGAATTATTGCTGAATTTATTTTTGCACTCGTGCACGTATGATCAATGTTTATAAGACCCCCTTGGTGATAATTATGTTATCATGTAACTATTTATGAACATAATAATGATATTAATTGATATAATCGTTTCTAGATAATTAAATGTGATAATAACATTAACATCGCCGTTCTGCAGTTGTGAAGACGATATATAGAATTATTATTAACACGTGATTGACATATGCGTAAATGCAAATCAATATCTACTATTGGATTGCACAATGAACTAAACGATATTGCACGTGAGAGGTTTTACTATAATATAGAAAAACTAATATAAATACATGCGCATTTTTATCATGTTTTTGATACATTGTATTGTTTTCGTTTTTATGATATTTCTAGTTAAATTACACAAACAATATATAGTATAACTAAACTAGAAATATTTCTTATATATGTTAATAAAATTATTCAATTAAAAATTATTTTATATAATTGATCCTTTCGTACTAATTTTTTTCTATACCAACCGTTTTATATGGGGACAAACTTTAGACAAACTTCACTTCGTAAATTAATAGCTTTTTCTTCTATTGATAATTTAGGTTGATTAATAGCTTATTTATAAGTTAAGTCACAATTAACCGAACTAAGACTAATATTAAAGTAATGAATCAAGCTTGTGATGAACAAAATTCGGTTAAACGAAGTTAACCGAATTTCACCCCATACCTAGTAAAAAATAATTGTGTTTAGCCAACTCTTGCGAAGAAATTTGTTTTGTTATTTAGCGTTAACGAACTTCATACTTTACGACAAAACCTATTTATAGTTAATTGAGAAGAGAGAGAATTTAAAAGAGGGATATTTTGATGAACTGTTCACACAAATTATAATTAAAATTATAATAAATTATATGGTATAAAGCTTTAATATTTTGCACATTATGACACTATAAAAATTAGAAATCGATTATGGATTGAAAAAAATCGACGATGACCTGTAGAACTCGGTAGCTCAATTGGTTAGAGCAACAGCACAGCACACTCAGGATGCCGGTTTAAGTCCTGCCCTAGCAGTAATTATTTTTCAATTTACAATCGATTTTTAATTTATTTAGTAATGGTAATTTTTTGAAAACTGATATACTGCAGGGAATTCTTGTTATACCCATAGATTTGTCCACAATCGTAAAATAACAAACTAATAAGAAGTAAACAAAATATTTTTTTCCAGACATTACCTGCCGCTTATTGGGTGTTGTTTATTGCAAACTTGTTCATCGACTTGTATTTTTACCTTATTGTCATTTCGCGATCGCCATAATGTATCCACTTAAACGCGAAAGAATGCGCGATTATTATTAGCTGTCTTATCGCATAAAATTTTTTATGG